TGGTCACCGGGAAGAAATATAAAGAGTAGAGGTATCGGTAGAGAACAGTGCACAAAGATACGTGAATTATGGATGGACTGATAGTGTGTGCAGCAGGGAACTGTCTTATTCTGTGCTTTGGACCTGTTATCAATTGAATAGAATCATAGGGGAGTTGGGCTGGAGGTTGCATCTAGTCCCGTCTGCTGCCTGAGGCAGGATCACCCCCAATCCTTGAATAAAGAGCAATCAACCCAGAAAACCACCAATCTGCAGGTGCTGGTGGCTGGTAAGAATTGTGTTTAGGTCGTATTCTTGTCACCATCCCTGTATGTCTCCAAGCCCAGGCTTTCAGAAGGGGTTAGTGGTATTTTGTACTTTGCTTTCTGTTATCCCCCAAAGGGAGGTTCCTTTTAAAGGAGAGTTTTTGACATGCTTGGCATCTGTTCTCAAAATATTTCACCTTCTAATCCAAGAGCTATATGTGTCAGGGTGGTTTTAAGCCTGCCTTAGAGGCATTGGGTGTTGGCTGCAGCCCAAGCTGGGAATTTTGAGTGGGCTGTGCCAGTGCTCCTGTAGACACTCACACCCAGGTGTTCCTGACTTAATTGGTCTTGCCCCTCAGTTCAGTCAGACCTATTGCCCTGTTTGGGTTCAGGAAGGTATTTTGCCCCATGGTCAGATTGGTATGGACTGTATGTGTGTGTGCGTGGGGCAGGGGGGTTGCCTTTTTTCTGTAGTGGGGAATGTGGCCTCTACCTGGCATTTGAAGTGTAAATTAACAACCTTTTATAGTAGCAAGATGTTGGCCACCGTGGTCCCCCTGCTTTCTCCGTGGCAGATTCTGGTGTGTTGTCTTGTGTTGTCAGGGTTGACAGTAGCTTTACTAAGAAGTCAGATGATGGATTTGTATAGGGTGGTTTGGACAGGGCAGATCCTGCCTTGGGCAGAGACTACACGTGTGTACTTGGCACCTATATTTGCAGAGACTAGGCTTGCATATTTAGTATCTAGTACTATATGCAATTCTCCCCTTCAAGATTTTGTAAGCTGATCACTTTCCAATCCAAGTGTTGTGCGTCAGGGCGTTTTTAAGCCTTCTTTAAAGGCATTTGGCATTGGCTGCAGCCAAAGATGGTCACCTTCCCATCACCTTCTAACACCTGCAGATTTGTGGGTTTCTGGGATGATTGCTCTGTATTCAAGGATTAAGGTGGGATGGGGTTTGGACTGGATGTGACCTCTAAGGTCCCTTCCAACCCAGCGTCTCTATGATTCTGTTCAGTTGGTACTTGTACTAGTACTTGTATTGGTTCATAGTACTTGGTGTAACCTGCCTTGACACCCTGTTTGAGAATCGCTAAATTAGGGTGATGAATACCCACTGCCTAGGACTGCAGTGAAAAACAATCCAGCTTATTGCATTTTCATGTACCACATGCCTTGTTTTGGGAAAGTAGAATGAAGGGGGGAAAAATCTTTTCCTTTTAACTGAACAAGAGTTCAGTATCACTTTCCTTGTTGAGATGCACACCTCAGTTTTTGATGGCTAATTTTCAGGGGGAGAGGTGAGTGGTATGTGAATAAATAAGGTAATGGTAAAAACCAACAAAAAAGGTGTCTGGGAAAGAGGTTAGTATAGTAGCCTTGGAAAGAAAACACCCTGTTCTATGACTGATTACCCCATCCCCTTTGCAGTAATACTGGTGAAAGCACAGAATCCAAGACTGATGTCTTGGGCTTTGGTAACGTCCTGTCATATATCCTTGGTATCTATTATGGAGGCTTGCTGTTCTATACAGGAATCTGGACTCATGCTGGTAAAGCTTTCATGGTTGAAAACTCGGTGTCACCATTCTCAGTGGCATAGAAAACTGCAGTCGAAAGCTGTCACAAAAACTTATTTCAGCCTGTTGAGAGAGGCTGCATCTGCGTCTTGTCATCAAGCCAACTAAAGCTCTTTATACCTCTATTTATATTCGGATAAGAAGCTTTTCCTCTTTGCCTATTACCTGTATTTCACAAACATCTGCTGTGTTGCAAGGGCTAGGTGGATGTATCACAAGCTGAAAAAAGAAACCTTGGTTCTTCTCGGATATTTCTCCTCTCTCTATTTTTGCGTTCAGCTTAATTTTTTCCTGCTTGTCTCTGTGGCTTGAGCTTGAGACCAATAATATATTTCTTTTTGCTTCCTGAAGTTAAATCTGGTTTTTACCTGGCCACTTCCCTTCCTACCATGTATTTGTGTGAATTTTTTTTCTCTTCAGTGCTTGATCTCCAGTCATAGGTGTACATAATTAATGCACTTGCTAGCATGCTAATTACCAAAACCTAAGATTGTTGTTTCTGTGAAATGATGAAGTGAGATTCTATTTAAAAAATGGTAATGCTTGATCATAAGTAATTGTAAATGTAATTAGGTACCTTGGAGCCACAGCCAGGAGGGAGGCATCTGCAGAAACGTGCTCTTGCAGGCCAGACATTCAAGGCTGCTTTCGTGGCTGAGCCTGGAATCCTACAAGTGAGCACGTGCAGAATTTAAATCTGCCATAGTAGCCCATGTTCTCTGATGTTGGTCAACTGGTGCTCTTTAAATCAAAGTGGGGGCATGTGAGTAGGGTTGGGAAGTGGGTCAACAGACTGGTCAAGTAACAGCAAAAAATAATTGTTGAATACTGTATTTTCCTCACATACAATACGCTCCTTTTTCCCCACTCCCAAAAGGTCCTTATCTTTTGGGACCTGAAAAGTGTGGGCAACACAAGTGGCTGCAGGATAATGTTCACAGGCCTTTGCCTGCCGAACCAGGAAAGGCCTTTGCCTATAGGTGCCAAGAACAGCATGCTAAAGCTGCAAGAGTCTAACCATGTCCTGATACCTGGTGGGAGTCATTGGGTAAGAGAAGAGGACACTTCTGTTAGGCTGCCATAGGAAAGAGGTAGCTGTCAAGAAGTGCTGTTCCTACTATTGTGGAGTCCAGGGGAAAGGATGGAGCGGTGCTACTCATTTCTGATGGCTTTTTGCCTAGCTGCCACATTCATCCAGTGGTCAGTTGAGCTGCTGAGCTTGTTATGTGAATGCTTCCCTTCCTGGCTGTCCTGGGACTGTGGCCTAGCCCTGGTAGGACAATGTGCTGCAGCAAAGAGCAGCCCACCAATGGCAGCTGCTGTTTGAGATTTCCTGCCAGCTGCTGGGCAGGCCAAAAGCGCTCTTGAAGACTCGTCAGTAATCTGAAATAGGCTGCACAGAGATCAGCTGGATCTCATGGGACCTCCACTCATAACAGGATTGACATGCTAGCTGCAGTATGGTCAGCAGCTCAGTAATGCCCTGTCCTGGATTATCTGGCAGAGCTCCCTTCCGGCTGTGTCAGCATGGGCCTTGCCTCCTACCTGTTCTGGCTCCAGGCACCTCTGGGAACAAACTAACTCATAAAGCTTCACCTTGTTCCAAGAATGGGGAGAAGCAATTCACCCCATTAGTCTGAGATTGGGCAGAAGGGGAAGGGGTTGTTGTGCTTTCTAGATTAAATTAGAGATGCATAAGTTTTTGTAAGCAATGGCATTATGTGATGCTGTGAGGGGAATGCAGGGAGCAGAGCTGCTAAATAGAAAGCAGTGACTTGAATAGTAAGTGGGGGGAGGAGAAAGATGGGGGCAATGCTGGGGGGTTCAGGGGGTAGGAAAGAGAAATAAAGCAGTAATCCATATAGGGACAAAACTGCTGCAGGTCACAGGATAAGAATCCATAGCATTGGTCTGGACCAGACGTATCTGGAGCCAGTCTGTGAGCGACCTCTTATTCCACAGTTTCCACCTTAAATTGGTTTGTAAAGTCTTGTTGTCTGAGATCAGCTGCTCCAGGGTTAGTGATGGGACATGCAGGAATATTGCAGTATCTATGTATCTGTCTGGAAGTGATGGCTGCTTGGCATCCATATTCTTTCCCATAGGGGTCTGGCCAGTACACATAGGAGAGAGGCACTGTGAGCTGGTGATGGTGGGGGAGCAGGTGAATGAACTTCCTGGAACCATGGCTAATAAACATGGCCTTTGCTCGCCTCTCCACCAAACTCCCAGGAAGCCTGTGGCCAGACGTCACAGCTTCCTCTTGAATTCATGATGCACACGAGCAGTTTCTCCTCAACAGGCTGTTCCCTGGGAACAGCACCCAAACAGGCTTGTGGATCCCAGTTACAGCCACCTCTCTTCCAGCTCTTGGCTGGAAACTCCATGGACAATCTCTGCTAGACTAAGCCAGGAGCTGAGAAGCCACTTCCCTCAGAGGCTTGCCATGCCCCTTCAGGAGAGAGGCTGCTGCTGCAACTGTTCCAGGCCTGCTCTATGTGTTATATTTACGCCCTGATTAATGTGTTTAAGGTGCTGTCAAATGGAAAATACTTATGCTGGGAACAGAGTTTTCAATTCCTGGCGATAGAAACTAAAGAGTCTTGAACCTGAGGCTGTCAGGCTTTGACCAACAAGCAGTGATTGTCCAGGGATCAAGGCTGGCAGCCGTGAGTCTCAGACCAGGTCCAGAGCAGACAGCTGACTGCCAGCCCCATGTGCAGGACTGCAGCACCTAACTTTCCACTTGCCAGCATAAAGAGAGCCTGGGACTATTGTCCTGGGCTCCTCCTGTCCTTGCAAGTAGTGGTGCAATTGGGATCTGATCCCAGATCCCAAAATTGCTGCTTCTGGCCCAGCTTTCTAAGGACCAGGTCTGGCATGAACCACAGCCCTCCACTGCTGCTTTTTAGCCTTCCCAGAGCCTGGGAGAGAGTGTGTTGCTTTTTAACAGCTTTCACTAGGAACCTGCCATGTCTGCAGGCCAGCCAAGGGCGTGGAGCTCTGAGCCTGTGACTTTGAGAGAGGATGGGGCATGCAATGGAGCTGTTGGGTTTTGTGGCCATCACCAGGATGACTGAGGCCTCTAGCTCATTAGAATTGCATAGCTGGCGTTGGAGGCTGTATCAGGCAGGTTGCTGGATGATACTGGGCATCTCCCTTCCTCTCCCCAAGGTCCGCAGAGGAGATGAAGCACATGCGGGAGATGGTCAGCTTCTTCCCCAGTGGCAGTGAGGAGCGGCCGGAGCCTGTAACGCCAGCATGTAGTGAGCCCACCTGGGAGCTGGTGATGGACAAGAAGCACTTCAAGCTGTGGCGACGGCCAATTGAAGGGAACCACCTCTATCAGTACAGAGGTAATCGTACCCCGGCTGAGCTGTTGCACTGTGGGTCTCACGGGAAGCCTGGTATGGCTGCGTGTGCCTCTCAGATGCTGTCTGTGTCGGCTGCAGCTTCCTTCCCTCCCAATGCTAAGCTGTTCTGCTCCCAACCAGAATCACTCCATGTCCCTTTGTTCTCCTTGCCAGCCCTGTCTTCCCCTTCTTTGTGTGCCATGGTGCCAGCTCTGTCTGCCTCTGACCTTGCCATACAGCCTAGCTTACACCTTTTTGTCTCCCTTCCCCACAGTTTTTGGGACCTACACAGATGTGACCCCCAGGCAGTTCTTCAATGTGCAGGTGAGTGTTCCCAGACCCTATGTCTGAGCTCAGAAAACCCAGTGGTGCAGAAATACAACCGTGTCCCTGCCTAGTGCTGCAGCCAGCCTGTGACATGGGCTGTGGGGCAGAGAAGAGCCAGGGGTGGCCTGTCAGTAGCAGCACTTGCTGCTTCATCACCTGCCCACAGTCAGGTGATCTGTATGTGATGACAGTCTTAGAGTCACAGCCAGACTAGGCAAGGCTGTCCAGAAGTCACAGTTAGTCCAAGCGCTGCCCAAGGCAGGATCAGTCCCGTACAAGCCCTGCCATCCTTGTCTGACCTGTTCCTAACACCACATTCCAGCCATGTGTACAGCAGCAAGGCCTAGAGACAGCTTTGCTCCAAGTGATGCCAGGTCTGGCAGTGCCTTTCTGCTGCCAGGGGGTTAAATGTACTCGAGAGATCCAGGCAGAGGCTGTACCCTTGCTGTAAAAGAAGGCAGACCCCCCCAGTCTGGGCCTATCTGACAAGGGGGGAGAAGTCCTGATGCCCAACGCAGCATCAGTCTGAACCTTGAGTGTAGGACAAAGACCCCCTAACCAGGAACCTCCAGGTTTGAGTCCCAGCGGGAACACTGGTCCAGCCCAGTCTCCCTCCCTAGCCTGGACTACAGCCAACATCCAGCACTCCTGAAGGAAGTGGACAGGATTTTTCTTTCCCCTGTAGGAATAGGAGAGGAGAAAAAATTCCTTACTGGCTTCATGGGGGAATTAGCAAAGCCCACAGGCAAGTTAGTTTAGCATTAGCTGGCAGTCTGTGGGTCTCTGAGTACAGCTTCTGCTCCCCAGCCATTAGCTTCTCCCCTCTTTGGCTTGTCCTTTGTATCCATGGAGTGATCTCCACTCCCCAGTGTTTATTACCAAGAGAATTCAAGGTGCATGGTGGATGATGCAGGTTGAGGAGTGTTCTTGGCCAGAAAGGGCCTGGCAGTTGGAGCCTGGAGACAAAGTTCTGTAGGAAAGATGGCTTTCCCAGGGCACATGCCTCCAAAACCAGACCCAAGTGCATCAGGAGCATGGTGGGTGGGAAGTCACTGGTGAGGCCAGACTTCGGCAGCTTGCTTGGCTGTCCACCTTAAACTCTGTAGTCACGTGCTGCAGAAGGCTACAGGGTCAGATTCTAAAGCCACAAACCACTTCTCTGTAAAACCAGGCTGCCAGAAACAGCCTTAGAGGGGAACCCCGTGTTGCCCTCCTGTCCTGGTTTGTGCCACTGTGCAGTGAGATGGCAGCAGGGCTCCTAAATTTACCCTTTGGAGTGTCTTTTCCGGTCAGGTGAAGCTGGGCTTTCACAAGCTTTTCAACAGACTTGGGTCTGATTTCCCGAGAGAGTTGCCTTTTCCTTGCATAACCACCACTGACTGGAAGAACACGTTATCACTTTGCTCCATGTTACCCTTCTCCTGAGCCCTTTCTTCTCTGGCTAGCTGGACACTGAGTACCGAAAGAAATGGGATTCTCTAGTCATCAAACTGGATGTGATAGAGCGAGATGTGACCACTGGCTCAGAAGTGGTCCACTGGGTAACCCACTTCCCGGTGAGTAGTTCTTTTCCCTTACCTGCCTCAGGATGTTTCTTCCCGACCCTGAGATGGGGGGGACTGATTTTGTGTTTCTCCTTCTAGTACCCCATGTACTCACGGGACTATGTCTATGTCCGGCGGTACAATGTTGATAAGGAAAATAATCTGATGGTGCTGGTATCACGGTATGTATTACCACTATGGTCTAGTCAGGCTCCTGTGATCAGAAAAATCATAGAGAGAAATCAGTCTGAAAGGGACCTCCAGAGGTCACATTTAGTCCAGCTCCCTGCCTGAGGTAGGGTCAGCCCTGTCCAAACCATCCTAGGCAAATCCATAATCTAAACTCCTTGTAAAACTACCATCAACCCTGGTGTAACACAAGACATAACACCCAAACCTGCCACCAGTAAAACAAGGGGAACTATGGTGCTTCTGTAAAAGGTTGTTAACATATGCTTGAGAGATCCCAGGTAGAGGGCTGTCCTTCTAGCATGACTGGCTGTGTCTAGTCATGCAGTGTTCCCTGCTTTAACTGGACAACTGGGTTCTCGCTGACAGTATAGTAAGCCCTTTCTATAACTCTGGGGTTGGCAGTGTATGGTCTGTGGGCCCTACTGCATGGAGCTTCAGCAGTGGCCAGGTCAGAGCTGGTCAGTCTCAGCCCCGAGCCTAGTTTTCCTGCCCATGTCTCCTAAAACTTTGCTGACTGCTGCTAGAATGAGCTGCCCAAAGCTTTGTGTGGCAAGATTCTGGTTTTCAGGCCTTTTTACTTTGGGCTGATTTGCTGGTTAAGTTGGGACGAACCTGTCTTGACTAGATGACTTTTTTTGAGGTGCTTTCCAGCCCACCTTTCCTAGGATCCTTTGGTTCTTTTGCCCCCTTGCACATGCATGTTATGAGGCTGCTTCTGATTATGTGGGCAGATGCAGTCTTCTCCACCAGACCCCAGCAGGTAACTCTTAGTGATGTGCCATTAATGTACATTTCACCATGGAAGGCCCTAGTCAAGCCTTTGGGCCTGATACTCTTAACCTGGGTAAGATGATCACAGACTCGGCATGGGCAGAAGAGAGAAGTGCCCACCTCATGATATGGGTTTGGAGAAGTGCCCGCAGGGTGACATCAAGAGGCTGCTCTTTTTCTTTGACACCGTGTTCCATTTCTTATGCTAGTTAGTGCCCAGCTGGGGAGGGAGAGAGGGAGGAGGTCTGGGGAAGCAGGTTGGCAAGAAGAGTTTGGAAAGGATTTTACATAGAGGTAACGAGATGCTTCCAGGCTCCAGAGAAAGTAAGCAAGATGCTTAGTGGGAGTTGGAGGTGAGTGAGTGCAAGACCAAGCAATGGAGACCTCTCCTGCAGCCAGAGCAATGGGGTGGCCTTGGTTCAGGGAATTGGAGATGTGTTCCTGGGCTGAGGGAATGAGAGGTTAGAGCTTTGAGGTGGGCTTGCTTGGAGGGAAGGGGCATTGTTCTAAGCACAGAGACCACAGGTGCCTCTGGTAAGATAGGGCAGGAGAGAACCAAGCCGAGCATTATGTGCTGCGTGCTTTGCATTGTGCTGGTGGATGTGTGCACACGCACTGACTCTGTTCCAAATGTGCAGCTGATAGTGGGAGAGGTGGAAGAGCCAGCGTGCAAGGGCACCTCTGGCATCTGCCTTGCTGGTGTGACCCTTATTTGCAACCTCTGTCAACAAAACAGAGCCAGTGCCCTTTCCTGAAGAGCTTTGCACGAGAGACATGGGTCCTCGAATCACAGAGAATTGGAGCTGGAAAGGATCTGTGGAGGTCACATCGAGTCCAGCCCCCTGCCTGAGGCAATATTAGCCCTGTCTAAACCATTCCAGACAAATCCATTGCCCAACCTCTTTGTAAAACTACCCCCAACACTGACACCACCAGATATCACACCCAACCCTGCCACAGGTAAAGCAGGGGGCCATGGCAGTCAATGACCTGCTTCTATAAGACCGTAATACATGCTTAGATCCTACGTAAAGGCTGTGTCCTCTGCTACAGAGGAAAGGGAACCCCTGCAATCCCTACCAGTCTGACCTGGGGGTAAAACTCCTTCCTGACCCCAAATGCAGCATCAGTATAACCCTGAGCTCTCTAACCAGGGACCTCTGGCTTTAAGTCCCAACAGGAGCATTAGCACAACCCAGTCACCATCCCCAGCCTGGGCTGCAGCCAACAGCTCTGAGGAAGTTTTAACACCCCCCACCCCCCGACACATGTAGTAGAAAGAGGGGGAAGGGGACAACCAGCGAAGTCCAGAAGCCTGGGAAATCCCTATGGTAGAGCATAGGCATCGCTACAGTTAGATGATTCCCAAGCAGTGGCTGTCCAACCTGTCCTTGAACACCTCTGGTGATGGAGAGTCCCCAGCTTCCCTAGGCAGGTGTGGCCTGGGTGAGCTTCTGTCGCTGAAGCTTTAGATGCCTCTGTGGGAAGTCTGCTTGCTGCTCTGGTGCATGGCCATCTCCTTTGAGGCAATGCCTCTTGCTAAAACCTGAGCCTGGACCTGTATCTTGAGGACATTAGCTGGGATTGTAACACTCTTCCTGCATCTCCTCCAGGGCAGTGGAGCACCCCAGTATCCCAGAGGATCCTGAGTATGTCCGTGTCCGGACTTATGAGTCGCAGATGGTCATCCGCCCGCACAAGACCTTTGATGAGGTGAGTTCTTGGCAGGCTGGGACCCCAAGAGCCAACCCCAAATCAGGCAGCAGGTCTCTTGAATGGCAGAACTCTCCATCCTCTGCTTTCTGGTGTTAGTTTTTACTGTGTGCCTCAAGGTTGGCTCTGTGCCTGCCCTGCTCCTGATGGGAAACCCTAGAGCTGAGATGTTCCCACTTGGGTGAGGGTTGCGGCATAAGAATCCCACTATTGGAGGCCTCGGTCCCTAGACAATCACCTAATTGTTGGTCCCAGCCTGGATAGCCTTGGGTTCAAGACTCCATGCAGGTCTCCGGCTTCTCCTGCCAAGGATTGCACAGTCTGTGCTGAGCATTATTGTTTCCTGCTTGATGGCACCTTAAGCATGTTAATCATGGCCTTGGTGTAATGTGTAAAGGAGGCCTGAAGCAGAGCCAAGATAGCAGCCTCGACCCTACAGGGGCAGACCAAACTACCAGAGGAAGTGGGTTTTCAGTTCCCAGCTCAGTCTAGCAGGGAGCTCTTGTCCATGGAGTTTCCATCCAAGAGCTGGGGGAGAAGTGGTCATAGCTGGGATTTACAAGCCCACTTGGGCGCTATTCCTAGGGACTGGCCTCTTGAGAAGGAACTGCTCACCTGCAGTGGAAATGCAATGGGAAACTGTGACATCTGGCCATGGGGCTTGTTGGGAGTTTGGTGATGGGGCAAGCAGTGGCCACGTTCGTTAGCTGTAGTTCTGGGCAGTTCACTCATCTGCTCCAATAACTTCCTAACTGGAAACTAGAGGTCTGAGGTATAGAAGCACCGAGCGACCTCCTTTGAATATTGGGCCTTTCTGAGGAGTTGCATCTGTCCATGCTTGAAAAAGTTGTAGACGTGTGGACTGATGCTGTTACGCAGGGGTCAGCAACATTTTGGCTGGAGGACCAAAATAACCCCGATCTCAACCCGCACCTCAGCTTGGCATGCCAGACGCAGACAGCAGGGGAGCCACAAGAGACCCAATCCTCATTGCTGGCAGCGGTTGCATGTGCCTCTAGGGTGGATGGTGGGGGAGAGGCCAGGGTTGCATTGCCCCAGTCCTTTCCCTGCCATGCGCCTCTAGGTGCACGGACATCTGCCACAGAGCCCAGCTGGGGCTCTGGAGCCCAGTGCAGCTGCTTGCAGCCTTTAGCTGCCTGCCACAGCCAGCCTTGGGTCTGGGCAGCTGCAGCAGGCAGCCAGGAGCTGCTCCTGGCCACCTGCTGCAAGCAGCTTGGGCTCTGTAGCCAGTGGCAGCTGCCTAGAGCTTGGCTTGCCTGTGGCGTGCCAAGCAAAATGGCCTCATGTGCCATGCTCTGGCATGTGCGCTGGGGCTTGCTGATTCCTGCTGTAATGGCTTATAGTGGTGTAAGTGTTGCACCTTTCTGCTCCTATAGCTGTCCAAGCTGTGACTTACCAAGAAAGGCTGAAAGAACTAGGACTGTTGAGTCTAGAAAAGAGAAGAGCAAGGGGGCATTTGCTCACAGGTTTCATAGTTTCTAGGGTCAGAAGGGACCTGAGAAGATCATCTAGTCCGACCCCCCCACCATGGCAGGAAAGAGTACTGGGGTCAAACGACCCCAGCAAGGTGTTCATCTAACCTCTTCTTAAAAACCCCCAGGGTAGGAGCCTGCACCACCTCCCTTGGAAGTTGGTTCCAGACCCTAGCCGCCCTGACCGTGAAATAGCG